GATTTTTCCAGTTTTGGTCTTACTGTTTCTTAGTCAAATAGTGTTAGATTAAAAAATGACTTTCGGAGAGTCACTGTGTTTTAATTGGTGAGTTTAACTCATTTACATATGTTGTAGCTGCCATCCTGTAAAAAATTGTCATTTAAAAATTTTATTTAATGTATTTCAATAAGTTTTTTCTCCTTTTCCTCTTTATCTTCAGAAATAGCAATGCTGTGTTACCCTTTTCAGTGGTATGCATTGCTTTTACTTATAAGGTGGCTGCCAAGCAAGACACTAGACAATATCAAGTTAGTCAAATAATCATATAGTGCTTCTTTGATTTAAAGTCTTAAAAAATTTTAAAAGTACTATCAATACTTTTAGTATTTGGAGCAGATTTGGATATTTTGATGTCTGACAGTTTTTTTTTATTATGTCCAAACCTTTGTTGTTTGTTGTGTGTGTGTTTTATGTAATTTATTTATTTGTTTAGTTTACACTATTGTTCATTTTTGTACAGTGTTTGCCACTGTCAGGTGCAGCCCCATAGAATCCCTTCACCAGTTCACCACCACTGCCACAGCCCATCTTGTACTCCTTTTCACAGATCTCTGCATTTGAGCTCTTAAGAAGTTTTTTTGCGTTTCCTGATTATCTTAGTTTTCTTGGGAAATTGCCTTTAGCAAGTCCATTGCAAGATCTGCTCACCTGCAGATGGTGGGTGGGGCCTCACTTCCTCCTTCCTCGCTGGCTGGGTCCCACCTCATAGCTTGAGGCCCTGGTCTTACTGGTGGTCCTGCACATGATGCTTCCCCTAGGTGGGCGCGGTGTGAAGGCAGTCAGTGCCCTTCTCCAGGCCAGAGGGAACTTGCTCATAGGATTTCAGCCTTCACTAGAGGAGAGAGTTTGTCTCAGTCCTCGTTCCCCATAGAGAACCTGGTTCTAGCGCCCTGCACTGCACCTGGTAGGTGTTTGGGGTGTGCTGTAGTCGGGACACCAGGGGACTTGAACATCAGCTGCTTGTGTGCCTTTAGATGAGTCTAGAGTCGGCAGAGGCCTTCAGGCTGTGCCTTTAGATGAGTCTAGAGTCAGCAGGCCTTCAGGTTGTGCTCACCCTAGCCTTTCCATCTGAGTGTCTCTCAGAGAGGTGTAAATGGTTTGTTTTTTCAGTGAAGTTATATATTTTTATTTATTTTTAAAGTGTTTTGTCATGTTGTGGTGGTTGGACATTATGTGGGAGAGGAGGTGCGTTTTCACTTCACATCTCATAAATATCTCGACTGGAAATTTCCTGGCTGGCCTTTCTTGTAAACATATTACTGGGTTGTTAAAAGCAAAATTACTTTGTTCTCAGTATTTTTTTTTCTTTGATTCTATTGAGTAACTTTTTGATATTTAGAAGATTTTGCTATTTAGATCATGTAAGATCTCCCTGGCCTGAAAAAGTGAATTTGTTTTCCAGTGTTACCTGAACAGTGTCCACAGGTCACCAAATGCATCACCAGGAATTTGCTAGAGTTAAGTTAAACTGATAAGTTAATTTTTTTTTTTTTTGCTTTATACTTTCTTCTGTCTTCCCTGCCCCCTTTTCTTTTTCTTCTTTTCCTTTTGCTACTGCTTAAGTCACTGTAGCTAAGAGAGAGGATCATGAGATAAAATCCTTCCTGTTTTGTAGACCATACCTTTCTGAGGATTCCAGGAAACTCCTGTGCTTCGTACCATGCTCACTATTTTAGGCTAAGTACAAGGCAGTAAGTAAAGGACTCAAAGGAAACTCGTTTTGGCATCTTCATTGTTAGGAAATACGTTGGAGAGCAAGACAAACAAGAAATGAATGAAGAGGGAGGGAAACTCAAAACCATGTCCCCCAGCCACGCAGGCCTGGCTGATTTGTGTGCTTGAAGGATAACCAAGCTTGAGACATGGCCTTCACCCTCAAAAAATGCACAGTGGACACAAGGAACTAAAACCAGGTCATGAACTCAGGTGACAGTGAAACTTGGACTTGATGCTTGCTTAGAGTTGTGAGAAAGAGACAGGGCAGAAAATGTGGTTAGCAAGTGCCGGGTGGTGGAGAAGGTGGGAATTAAGCAGGCGTTGTGAGGAAGATGTTTTTTCTTCTCTGTGGTGGTTCTATTTCTAGTGAGCTTCTCATCTTGGAGGCTGCTCATCACAAAAGTGCTTCAGCTCCATTTTTGCTCTCATTCTGAACACCCTCGGTACGCACAGGTGGCTTGTCTGTCTGTAGTAGATACCTGTGAAAGGTAACACCTGAAAGGTTGTGTGACACTCACAAGAAATGAAAGGTGGAAAATGATGAGAGTATCTGACTTTAATTCTCAAGTACAAATTGGTTTCATTGGGTTTAAAAATCTTTATTCCAGAAATAGTTGGACAACCATGAAAAAAGAAAGCATTACTTTCCTGCTAGGTCAAAAACAGTCATTTGATTTTGGTGACATTCGAGAAATGATCAGACATATTTGTGTTTATGTGCTCAATATTAATTTCCCCTTGAATTCGGTGATTCTCGGTAGATAAACTCAGTCAGGAGAAAGGGAGTGTAGCATCCTTCTGTTAGGCTGCTTTGTGTGTTCTCACCAGTGTTCTTTTCACTTGAGGGTTCAGAGTGCTACTGTTGGCAGGAAGGAAGAGAGAAACTCTTTAATAGATTGTGATTTAATGGGTTGAATGACAATTTGTGCTGTGTCAGCCTGCTTGGGAAGAGGAGTTGAGGCCATGCAGATGAGACTGAGTATCTGCTTGTAGAAGCATTCCAGGCGTCTTTTGAAAGCAACCTTAGGCCTTTGCTCTCTGGTTCCCCAAAGACACTGCTCATTGACAGGTTTCTCCTGGTAGGAATGAGTCAGGGAAGAGCTGATCCAAGACACTCATTTGCTGCTGTGCTGTGTCATACCCCGCTGTGCAGACAAGGGTGAGGCCCAGACAGCAGAGGGCCAGCCAGGATCCAGCCTCCTGAATCAGAAAAGCTGCTTGCATCTGACTTCTCGTGAGCTTATTATTCTCTTCTGCTTTAGCACCGAGCCTATTTTACTCCGTCTAGCCAAGCCCTGAGTGGGTAGCTCTGGTGCCAGTAAATATTCAGGATTTTACTTTAGACTCAGTGCTGGGGTGACATTTGGTACCCTCTTAATTCTGAAGGGAGTCATCGCTCAGGAAGGCTGAGACAACCAGGTAGGGTTTGGGAAAGCTCAAGGTCTAACACCTTTTTCAGGGACTCATTTGCAGAAAATAATTGGATGGACTTGAGCTGGACAAGGCATGGGGAAGAAGCAGCCTTTGCTTCAAAGTAGACTGTATCTCAGAATAAGAATAGAAGAGGTCTATCTGTGGGTTTTGGTTGTTTGCCTGAAAATATTGACTCTTGTTTTTGGGCCTGCACTACTCCGGTGAACTTGACCCTTTTGTGGCAAAGGGTTCTAGAAAAAGTGACATCACTGAAAGGGGAGTCAGAATATTCTAGGCTGCACATTTGTGATGGGAGGCAGAGCAAAACTTCACAGAGATACTTCAAGAGGAGCTCTGCCCTCAGAAATGTCATTCAACTCTTGCCCTTGTATCTCCCAAGCTTCTTAACGACACACTCCGGAAGGAGAAATCTCAAGCGAACTCCCTGCTACCAGAATCTTCCACACAGGCCCATCCTGGTATTTCTAAGTACTCCTGCAAGAATCCCTTCTTGTGGCTGTTCCTATCATCTCTAACTCCTACTTCCCTGCATTCAGCCTTTCCCGATCTCCATTTCGAAGATTCTTTCTCTTCACCTTATTGTAACTTTGAGGATGACTTTGCACAGTCCATGTTTGTGATTAGCATCTTGGGATCTAGTTTAAATGAGGCCCTTTAATTTCTCTTGTGCTTCATTATTAGGCCTCAAATTCATCTCAGATGGTTTCCACAGAGTAGGTTCCTTGCTGTCTTGGCATTCATGCCTGCATCATTGTTTCTGGACCTCAGCCTGAGGTAAAATACAGGTTTCATCAGCTGGAAGCTGGCGGGGGCACAGCTGAACTCACGTGTCTATCGCCTGCTTCCAGCTGTGCTCACCCATTCCTTCTAAACTCCAGCCCAGCCCTTCCATCACAACAGAATGTTGCTGCCTCTTCAAGGCCTCCAGGGGTGGGTAACACTTAGTGGGAAATGTGAGGTAGGCCGGGGGCTCCAAGCTCTTTGTGGGTGCTGTTCGGGCCTGTGGATGGTGGCAGTGAGCACCACGAAGGCGTGGCACCAGCTGTGAGACCCAGCTGCTCTTGTGTGTTCCTTTTTCTATCTTCTGATTTTCCACCCAAACCCGTAATGCGCACAAATGACACTAAGCCTGTTACATAAAGCGGCCCTCTCTGAGTGACTGAAGCGTGCAGTCCATTAAGAAAACGCTCTTTAGTTTTGGTTTCAAGTTATCCCCTATGTCACTGCAGGGGCCTTCTCCTCCTGCAATATCCTCTCTAAATGTTCACAGGGAAATGGAAGTTTCTCTGTGTCCAGGATTTAATAAGTTGAGCCATTAAGTTGTAATTCAAGACACCGGCTCGGAAGACGAGGCTCCTTCAGAGCTGTTTAATTTATTATGCGCTAAGTGGTGACCGGTCCCGGCCTAAAGAGCATCCTGCGACAGCGAGGGAGGCTGGGTCCTGCGCACGGGCGTGTGCTCTGAGCTGTCTGTGTGCCCTGCTTGATGCGCACGTCTGCTCCTCGGGGCCTGGGAGGTCACTATGGCTGCCATGAAGGCTTTCACCTTCCATTTGATCTGATTTAATACTGTGTTTTCTTGTGGGGAAAAGCACTTCACTATGTTTATCGCTGTTTTAAGTATCTTTGTTTAAAAAAAAAAAAAAGCAAAGTCTTTCAAATCAGGATACCTACATGCTCTCAGGCTGAATTGTAAATGTAATTTTGGGTATAATTTGATTGACTAATCAAATGAAGCCATAGCATCACTGGAGGAGTTGCCTTGTCTCCTCTGACTGAATGTCGACACCTTTGCTTTCCCTCCCCAGGTGATGGGCCTCATCCCCCAAAGGAGGCCACCCCAACCGGCAGTCTAGACTCACTCTCCTCCCCATCCCCCACATCAGCAGCTGTCCCAGGGCCTCCTGGACCAGACAGAAACCACCTTCCCACAGATGGGGGTGCTGGGGACTGGGCATCTGCCACGTAAGTAACTGTGCTTGCGTTCGGTGCTGAGGGAAGGCGGGCCGGGCTCTCCTTTCTCAGTCTTCATGGCCGGTGGGTCCTGACGCCCTGACACCTGAGGACCAGTGGCGGGGGCTGCCAGAGGCTGAGTTTCCACAGAACAGGCCTGTCTTGAATAGGATCTCGCGTTTCCAGGCCGGAAGGGGTGGCCGCTGCTCTCTCAGGGCTGTCTTCAAGTTCAATTCGTGGCAGTTTGGGATTTGCACAGAGGAAGTGGGCTGGGTGCTACTTTTGCTGTTGCAAACGTGCAGAGGTGTGAGGAGACAGGCGTGATCGATGGACTCGCGAAGCTATGAATGATGTTCGAGTTACGGGGGTTTCTGAGAGCTTTGTGCTCGCTTTCTGCTCTGTTTGCTCTGTCGCTCCCTGCGTACTTGTCAAGGGATGGATGAAATACCTGATTCTATCTGTTCCGTTTGGTTTCCTGCTGGCCACGTGCAGAACAACTCAAATATAGTACGACACACGTTCCCGACACAAACAAAACACCATGAGCCCCCGCTGGGCCAGGTGAGCGTGTGCTTGCTGTGGGGCCATGCAGAGGAGGTGTGCGGCAGCTGAGCGTCCCCAGCGATGACGGGGTTTCAAGCCACAGCTCACGAGACGTGCGCATTTCAACCTGATGGCATTCGAGTGTCCTGTCTTGAGAGAAATTTAAAAAAGAAAGTCGCTTAAAATAAATCATAGGTAATGATGTCACGCCACTCTAGCTGGGCATTCTCGGGACTTTAAATGGAATTGGAAAGTATGACTCACATTACTTGGCTTTTTAGAGTTCCCGCTGACTTCACATGAAATCATTATGAACTTATTAAGTATTAAAAGAGGCTGGGAGAGATTTGGTATGCTCAAATTTTGGGGTGACCTGAAGACTTTGAAAATCATGAGGCTCTGGCATGGGACACAGGCTGCGGGGAGGCTTTCCTCGCGGCCGTCACCCACATGTTCCTTTCCATGCCAGGGGCTGGGTTGTTGGATTTAAACTACGTGTCACTCAGACGTTTGTGGCCTTTTATTTTGTCCAGAATAGAGATCCCCTTTCCTTTAGTGCTCCAAGCGATGACCGCGGTTACATAGGAGCCCGGAACCGGCTGCCGTGGGCCCTACTGCAGCGGAATTGGGGCTTTGTCTTTTTTTTTTTCCTTAAAGCAGAAACGAGATGTCTAATTATTTCTTCCATTGGCATCCAAAATAGTCGATGGAGAGGAGTGTAGCCTCCTCCTTCATCCATGGAGGTTCTGTGGAAAAGTGACATTACAACGCGGCACGATCCAGCCACACTCAATTCACAGCACGTCCATGCTCGAAACATGAAGAGCTTGATATTTTTGGTCATAAATCAAATGAGCAGTGAATTCCCCAGCTCCCTATTCATACACATTTTAAAATGTCACGGAAGGCACTCCAACCTTGAGAGGCCAGAAAGGGAGGAGGGGGAATGAGCAGTCGCAGCGAGTCTGGAGAGGAGATTTTTTATTGAAATGTAGTCTCTCTCCTACTTCAGAAACGTGTTTCTCCTGTGCACTGGAGAGAAGACAGTTCTGTTTCTCCTCAGCATGCAGAATGTTTCTTCTTGTCTTTGACAGGATTTACCGGCATGCGTGGTGGGTCCACATTTGTCATGGCGCTAGGACCGCCTCTCCTGGGGGGGGGGGGCTCCCCCACTCCCAGGACTTGCCGGACCCGCTTGCTGGGCCCCTCCCAGAGCCATCTGAGGTTTGGGGGGCGGCCTGCAGATGCGCTTCTCCCACCAGCCCCGCTGATGGTCAGTGCCCCTGCGAGAGGGCACCGTCCCGGGGCTGGGCACGGCCTGTAGATGCCCGAGCAGTGCGGTGCGGAGGTACCGTCCTCTCCAGGGTGTGGGGTGTTCACTTTATCAGGGAGCCCTGGTGCCTCCACTTCCTTTGATCCCTTCTGCCTGCAGTTGTCTCTTCCATTTTGCTCGACAATCCTGACCTATGTCAGGGTCTGATTTAGGTTCCACCCTCAGGAAGCCTCTCCAGGGCTCCAGTCTGCAGGGGGATTCGAAATAGTGCTTCTCTCTGCCTCTGCCCAGTGCTTAACTTTGAGGAAATCTTCCCTTCTAGTGTTTGTTTATATTAACCTTTCAGTGTTACTTGATAGCTAAGTGCGGGGTGTGTATCTGTATCAGTGTCTCTGCATACTTGCCCCTTCCCGCTCCAGCCTGCCTGTCTCAGAAATATTTTGAGGAGCCTGCAAACAGTTTATTTCCCACAGTCCTGGAGGCTGCAGGGCCGGGTGCTGGTGAGACCTTGTTTTGGTGTGCAGGCTGCTGAGGCCTCAGGCCTGTGTGGTAGAGGAGAGAGAGCAGCCAGTCTCCCGACTCTGGTAAAGACACCAGGGGTCCTGCTCTTCATGACCTCACCTAACTCAGTACCACGCAGAGGTCCCGCCTTCTAGTCCCGTGCATGGAAGAGGGAGGGGGTCGACAGACAGACTTTTTTATGCCATACCACTGTCTCTCGTTCCTGGAAAGACCATACATTTCTTGACTAGAAATGGGTCTTTTGTAGTGACATTGACATCATTACTAATGAATAAAAAGATCTCATTTTAATTTTTATGCATATTAACAAATACTCACCTTTGACAAACACTTCCAGCTGTATTACTGCGTATGTCTTAGCAACTATGTTTTTTTAGTTTCTGGTCCCATTTTCCTTCATCTTTCTTCCGTACAGAGTTTAAAAGCTCTCCTTCCAAGAATTCACAGAATTTCCTCATTCTCTGTAGCACTTGTCTTTGCTTAGGATTCTGTAGACTTAATTTCACTGTGTGTGTCCTTTTTTAAAATTCCTCATCTCTGTGTGAGCTGTACACTGTTGAATACAGTAGGGTGCAGATGCTAATGATATCCCTATTAATTAAAACCATGGTTATGTGGGTCCTTGCGATTTACTCAGAGTTTGTAAAGGTGGGGGTGTGGCCGTGGTACCTGAGTTGCCTGGGTTTAATCCAGGTTGGACTTTCCACTCCCTGGCCTCCTGGCTTATCTCAGGTCCTGAAAAATGAAGTCCAAATGGGTACGGATTGCGCAGAGCCCCGGGAGTTCTGTTGTACAGAAATGTCATGACTCCCGACCACCAGACGGCAAATTTACAGCACAAAACCAGCAGCCGAGATTCAGATCTAGGCGGTGCGTAAATACAGCTGGAACATCTGACAGGTAGAAAACAATACAGCAGAATTGGATTTCTTGGGTTTCTGCTGATGTTTATGACTTGTGGGTATTATTCATTGCAGTCAATCAATCTAGAGCTATTACTTACCTGTACCCTCGGTAAGGTGACGGTTGACTTCATTGCCAGTGAGGAATTGCTAGCTCAGTCTCCTTGGAGGACATTACATCATAGGTCAAGGTATTTCAAATGTTCCAAAGTCATTTTTTTCCCCCAATAAAGCAGTTTTCTCTAAACAGGTTTCCTTCAATTGTAAATGATGGAGCAGTTTCTTGACAAGTAATCCTTCTAGGTTGCTGCCACAAAAGAAAATCTTCTTTGAAGAAAGATCAAGCATTGCACTCTTCTTCATCTACAGATTTCAGATGAAAAGGAACACTTCCTTTTGTGTGGCTAATGCCCATCTTCAGGATGGCAGTGTCTTCAGGAGAACTCTTTGTTGCTGCAGTG